CTCCTCTTGAAGACCCCCAGGGTAGGAGAGAGCACCACCTCCCTTGGGAGCCCATTCCAGACCTTGGCCACTCTAACTGTGAAGAAGTTCTTCCTAATGTCTAGTCTATATTTGCTCTCTGCTAGCTTGTGGCCATTATTTCTTGCAACCCCCAGGGGCGCCTTGCTGAGTAAAACCTCACCAATTCCCTTCTGTGCCCCCATGATGAACTTGAAAGAGCTCATGGGCAGGATACCCTGGGAAGCCAGTGTGAAGGAGAGAAGAGTCCAGGAGAACTGACTGTATTTTAAAGAAGCCTTACTGGGAGTGCAAAAACAAACCATTCTAATGCGCAGGAAGACTAGCAAGTGTGGCAGAAGACTAGCTTGTCTTAGCAGGGAAGTCTTCAGTGAACTAAGCCACAAAAAGAAAGCTTATAAGAAGTGGAAACTTGGACAAATAAGGAGGAGTATAAGAGCATTGCTCGGGCATTCATGGACGAAATCAGGAAGGCCACAGTGCAGCTGGAGTTGCAACTAGTAAGGGATGTGAAGGGTAACCAGAAGGCTTTCTACAGCTATGTTGGTAGCAAGAGGAGGATCAGGGAAAGTGTGGGTCTGTTACTGAATGGGGGAGGCAACCTTATGACAAAGAATGCAGAAAAGGCTGAAGTACTCAATGCCTTCTTCACCTCAGTCTTCACAGGCAAGGTCAGCTTCCAGACTACTGAACTAGGCAGCACAGTTTGGGGAAGAGGTAAGGAGTCAATAGTGGTGAAAGAACAGGTTAGGGACTGTTTAGAAAAGCTGGACATATAAAAGTCCATGGGACCAGATGGGATGCACCTGAGGGTGTTGAGGGAGTTGGCTGATGAAATTGCAGAGCCACTGGCCATCATCTTTAAAAAAAATCATGGTGATAAGGGGAGGTCCGAAATGATAGGAAAAGGCAAAAATAGTGCCCATATTTAAGAAAGAGAAAAGGGAGGATCCAGGGAAGAGCATTCCAGTTGGCTTCACTTCAGTCCCCGGAAAAATCATGGAACAGATTCTCAAGGAATCCATTTCTAAGCACCTGGAGAAGAAGAGGTGATTAGGAACAGTCAGCATGGATTTACTAAGGGCAAGTCATATCTAACCAACCTGACTGCCTTCTATGACAAGGTGACAGGCTCTGTGGATGCAAGGAGACCAGTGGATGAGAAAAATAGGAGACCCTCGGTATTCGTGGGGGATATGATCCCTGCGAACGGTGAAATCCGCGAATACTGATTGGGCTCCCCATCAGACCCCACAGATGTGCCCTGCTTCCCCCCACCTCATTGCTCATGGGGCTCCCCCGCAACACCTAGGGACCAACCTCTTCACCCTGAGCACCGCTGTGGCTGCTCCGAGCCCCGTCATGGCTGCCTCTAGGGGAAAAGATGCCACTGCCACCGCCTCCATCCACATCCCCGGTGCTTGCTCTGCCCGCCTCCCAGCTCTGCCCTCTCCTGCGAATATTTAAATCCATGAATCTGGAGTTCACGAATAGTGAGGGGTTTCCTGTACCATGGTTTTAGCGAAGCTTTTCATACGGTTTCCCACAACAGTCTTGCAAGCAAGATAAGGAAGTACGGGCTGGATGAATGGACTGTAAAGTGGATAGAAAACTGGCTGGAGCATTGGGCTCAGAGGGTAGTAATCAATGGCTTGATGTCTAGTTGGCAACTGGTATCAAGTAGAGTGCCCCAGGGATTGGTCCTGGGGCTGGTTTATTCAATGTATTCATCAGTGACCTGGAAGATGGCATAGAGTGTGCCCTCAGCAAGTTTGCGGGTGATACCATGCTGAGGGCAATAGTAGATAATGCCGGAGGGTAGAGCTAAGATTCAGAGTGACCTAGATAAATTGGAGGATCGGGCCAAAAGAAATCTAATGGGACATGTCCACACATGCAAGCATGTGTGCTTGCAGCAGCTCAAATAGAATCAGTACAAATTTGAGCCAGGGCTTTTTGCCTCAGTCCACATGCACTGCGGACATGCACTTCGTTGTGGAGCAAGTTGTCCCACTTGGGGCAAAATAACTCTGCTTGGCTCCTCCTGGATCTGCAGCCAGGGGGAGCTAGAGCCTGGGGCCAGCATCTGTGCTGTCCCCAGAAGTACAAAAACCTGCCCTGGCCAGCAGCTCAGTTCTGCTTACCCTCAGGAACTTCTGAGGCCCAGCCACTTGGTATTTGGGGACATAGCCCCTTGTGCCAGCTGAACTGCTGAAGCAGAATCCCAAATTCACTTTTTAAAATACCCCAAAATCCACATTCTTCCACAATTAGAACAAAAGAGAGAGAGGGACTGATCAGATGGGCAATGTTTTATTGGTATATTTACAATGTTAAAGCAATTTGGAAGCCTGCCAGTGTCTCTAGCATCATAATAAGATAAATACTAAATATCTATATGTTTTAATGTTTGCTTATCACGTGGTGGGTGTGTAATGGGAGGAGTGTGGGGTTTGCAGGTGAGGGGTGGGAAGGGGGGGATAGGGGTATGTGGGTGGGTGTGGAAGAATGTGGGGGGATACAGGTCAGTGTGTGAGTACATGTGGGAGGATTGTGAGTGTGGGGGCTGCTTAGGAGGGGTGGGTCCCCTGCCCCTCACAGGGCAACAGGGCAGAGCCTCCCCACACAGCACATGGACTACTCTGCCTGCAGTGTCCCAGCCCCCCCACAGGGGCTACAGCTCCCTCCCAGCCCCCACACTGGTCTCAAGCCCCCTGCTCATTCCCCCGCTGATCTCCAGCCTTGGGAGGCTGGAGATGAGTAGGGGAATGAGCAGGAGGCTAGAGAGAGCCAGGAAGATGAGCAGGAGGCTGGAGACAGCAGGGGAAGTCTCCAGCTCATCTCCAGGGGCTTGTCTCCAGCCTCCTGTTCCTTCCCCTGCTCAGTCTCCTCCTTGTCTCTAGCCCCCTGCTTGTTCCCCTGCTTGTCTCCAGCCTCAGAGGCTGCTGCAAGTGCTGGTGAGTTTAGGGGGAGGGCTGGGAGAGCGAGTGGGGGCAGGGGGAATGAGCAGAGGACAGGGGGAACGAGCAGGGGGTGGGGAGAATGAATGGGGAGCTGGGGGAATGAACCAGGGTTGGCACTTACCAGGGCCTCCCCCATGGTCCCTTCCCCCCTCTCCTCCAGCCCCCTAACCCCATACTTACCGGACACAAAGCCAGGTCCAGGTCCCTGCAGTTTGCACCACTGCCTGTCCCACATGGGCAGGCAGCGTGCTTCAGCACCAGGGGAAGGGCCAGCCAGAGAGACACTCTGGCTGGTTACCAGAGCATCTCTCTGGAGGACTGAGCCTCTGGTTGCCTCAGGGCATGGTCCGGGACCATGCCATGGCCCACTTTTTTCCCCCAGGGTATTGTGTGACTCTTGG